GCTGAATCCATGCGCAGCCCCCTCCACTGCACTGTCCCAGTCCTCTGCACTCATGGGACTCTTCCCACCCTCTCCTCCCCTCCCACTTAAGTGTTTTTTTAGGTTTTGCCATAAAAGAGACAGAGGGGGGAAGTGAGAAACCACTCCCCAGGTGGGTGGCAATACTGCAATTCCTTTTCCTCTACTCTCCCCTTGGGGTTTTGGGCACGCACACACACGCGCCTGGTGTGATTTCAAGCTGCCGGGTCTGGGACTCTAACTGTGGTCAGCCATGTGGGACGCAGCCACCTTAAACTCCATGCCACCTGCTTGGCCCCACACTTAATCTTTTTTCTTTTCTTTTTTTTTTTTTTTTTAAGAGATTTTTGCTATACGCATAAGTGCTCACCAGAGAGACAGAGAGACGAAAAGACTGAAAATGAGAAATCACTCCCGCCCGGGGGTGGCCACACACCCACCCAAAGCTGCTGGGTCCAGGACTCAAACTGCAGTGGACTACGTGGAAGTCCAGCAATGTAACCATTATGCCATCTGCTGGTCCCACACTTAATCTTTTTTCCATTGCTAGAGGGTGTATGCACTCATCAGATTGAGAATGAGAGACAATGGGACATACAACCCTTTTTCCCCGTTTTTCCATCCCATTGGGATTTGGGATGGACACACACAAATAGCACGTTTTTTGTTTGTTTTTTTTGTTTGTTTTTGGAGAGATTTTCGCTATAGGGTGCGTGCGCTCGCCAGACAGACAGACAGAGACATAGAGACAGAAAGTGAGAAATCACCCCCCAGGGGGGATGGTCACGCCGCAATCCTCCATTTTCCTCTCGGGATCTTGGGCACACACGCACACGCACCCGGCGTGAGTTTTAAGCCACCAGGTCCTGGACGTGAACCGCGGTCGACTACGTGGGAGTCAAGCGACATAGCCATTACGCTAACTGCTGGTTCCCTCAAATAGCACGTTTTTCAAGCCACTGTAGCTGGGCCACAGTGGGCTCTGGCTCCCCACATACAGAGCTTAACTGCTGTGCTATGGGGCCAGCCCCACCTAGTGTTCACACGCTGACAGTGCTTCCTTCTCTTGCTCAGAACCCTCATGGTTTCTGCCATTCTTAGGAGAAAAAAACAAAAGCCTAAACAGAGCCCTTAAGGCCGGCCTCCCTTTCAGCCTCCCACCCTCTTCAGTTCACAACACAGCCCCCCCCACCCCAGGCCCTCTGTTAAGCACTTTCCCACCTCAGAACCATCAGATGCAACGTGCCCTCTGCCTGGAACACTGTTCAACTCAGTGTGACTAGGTAACTACTCATCCCAAACAAAAATTCCCCTAGTCAAACACTTCAGAGAAGTCTAAAATTTTCTTTCAAATTTTTTATCAGGCTGTGTCTATCCAGGGCACATGTGATTGGGGAGGGGGGCCCTGCTCAGCCCCCAGCAGCCATGGACACACACTCAACCTCCCTAACACCTCAATCAATCACGTGTTTGTGTAAAGTACTCAAAATAGTGTTTAGCACAAGCAGGCACAAAATGCATGATATATATTTTTTTAATTATTTATTTATTTATTTTAATTTGACTAGAGAGGTACAGAATGAGCGGAAGCGAGAGAGATGGAAAGTGAGAAAGCAAACTACCAGGTCCAGGACTTGAACCGTGGTCGGCCCTGTGGGAGTCCAGCACCCTTAGCCACCATGCCACCTGCTGGCCCCATGCATTGTATTTATTACAACCCCATGTGGTTACTTCCTAGGGCCTGCTCCCCCAAGAACAGAAGGTCCCGCCAGAGCAGGATTACCCATTGCTTTACTTGCCTCTTCTCTCAGAGCTTATTGTGTTGTTTTCTCAGCCCACAACAGCCACTCAACACAACAAATAAGTAAATAGATGAAAGGGAAGGATGTTGCAATCTGTTAGAAAAATATTCTCAGTCCAACTATGGTGGCAATGGTGTGCCACTGCACGAGGCTTGAGTCACATGGAAGCCCAGATTTGGATCCCAGGTTGTCTTGAATATGTCAGGCACTCCCTCCTTGAGCACCTGTGATCCTGGCTGGCTAGGACACTGGAGTTTGCAGGGAGTCTTGGTGTGGTGAGATGCTGACAAGGGTACCTGTGTGTGTATCTCTTTCTTTCATGAAAGAAAAAATTAGGGGAGGCGTGATGTCTAGCCATGAAGATGACAAGAAGAGCCTGAAACAGCCCAAGGAGATGGATAAGGAAAATGAGACTTCGAGCATAAACAAAAAGAGGAGCAGAAGCTCCAGAAGCTGGTCCAACCCTGTGATCTGACTCGGCAGTCTCCTGTATCCAGATCCCACATGGGCAACTGCACGGCTTGAAAAACGCCAGGTGTGTGCACAAACAAGTTCAAAATACAGAGAGGACAGTGAAATAAGGGAGAAGGGATTGCAGTATGACCATGCCCAATTGGGGAGCGCTTTCTTCTTTTCCCTCTATCTCCCTCTCTGGGAACCGCATATCCCCTCTTGGGGGTGGGGAAAGCTCAAGGAGCTAAAAGCAAAGGCCAGGGAAGGGCCTCCTTGGCCATAGATGGAACTAAGAAATGTGGCCAAAAGTAAGCTGTTTTTTGTGCCTGAAGCAATGGTGATGCTAAATGTGGATTCTCTGCCATATTGTCTTTTGCCACCTACAGCTAGAACTGCTTTGTCCTGGAGCCTGTTGTATAGTTAAGAATAAACTTTTGTTAAAGAAGAAGGGGTCGGGGCCAGCAGGTGGCATGGTCATTAAAGCTGCTGGTTTCTCACATGGCCGCCTGTCGTTTGAGTCCCAAACCTGGCAGCTTCTTTTCTCACTCTCACTCTCTCACTCTGTCCCTCTCTTGGTCATGGTGCATGTGTGCCCAAGATCCCAGGAGAATGGGGAAGGGATTGTGGTATGGCCATCTCCCCAGGAGGTGATTTCTCACTTTCCCTCTCACTGTTTCTGTCTCCAGCAAATACATGTAACCTAAGGCAATAACCTCTTTAATTAAAAAAAAAAAGAATAAATTAGATAAACTTTAAAAAAATTAAAAAGCATTCTGGTAGCTGTGTAGAAAACGAAAGGGGGGGAGCCAAGTACCCCAGTAAAGAGGCTGCTGCTCCACAGGCTGAGGCCACATGGGAGGACTGGATCAATTCCACACCCACCCTAAAAACCAGGCGTGGTGGTGGCCCATGCCTGTGGTCCCAGCTACTCAGAAAGTTCGGACAGTGGAGGAGGTCCTCTGGCAACACTTAAGATTCCTTATCGCCCAGCTCACTTCTAATCCAACCCCAGCGGCTTGAAAAACGAGTGGGGTTTGTGTGCCCCAAACTTGACAGCGTGCAGAAATGGAGGAAAAGAAACTGCGGTGAGGCCACACCCCATAAGAGAGGTTTAGTGTGGTATCCCTTAACAGACACAGAAGATTAAATCCTAGAGACGGAACACGACACTCACTTGAAGCTGCTTTGAAAGGCCAAGAAACCCCTTGAACATCGTGAGCCAGATCCCTCAAACACACAAACATACACACAGTAACTGAAAGGAAAATGAC